AAAAACAAATTCAATTCAATTATATTTAGCCTTGCAAGCGAATTAGATCTGATCCATCAAAAGTAAGTTTAGAATGAATCATAAATTTGTCAAAATTCTTTAGTTTCCCACAAAACTCAGTCGACACAGTTCACATAGTTTCTAGTATAGCGTTTGAATCATTACTGTGACTCGCACTGTAACTCGTATGCACAACATTCACAGTATTCACAGGCGCTGTGAATCATTTGTCGCACTGTCATTTAAAGTATTGCTGTAAATACGCTAATAGAATAATCAGAGCAACGCATTTACATAAGGAATCAGCTCTTATTCGAATCACTTTGTGAAATATGCACGCAACTAGGAATTGCAGATGAGCACATTTCAATCATAGTTTACTGCTTTGGCAAATGATTCATTCATACACAGTAACTGACATCCGATTCATTGTTGTACCGTAAACAAACTCCTGCTGTATATAGTAGCAGCTGATCTCGGAACTCTAGGGCAGCACATTTGAATCATTCATCTCACATATTCACTCATTCACAGCAGCTGTGAATTGAATTACATTTGGCTCTGTCGTATTTGATGTATTGGCATCAGGGTTACTTGGAGTACCTATGTCTTATTCTGTTCAGCGTGAATCAATAATCACAGTACCTACGATTCAACCATTCACAGTGGCTGTGAATCACATCGATTATATTCGATAGATTCTTAATTATGCTCATATACGTAATCGCACACACAATCGCCTATCAGATATTAGTTATTGTTTTTCACTTACGATTTGATTCGCAAAGTTGAACCTATTTGGATCAATGATTCGAAATTATGTTCTTACTTAATTATTTCATTTCATTATTACAGTCATCTTCGTATAAAAATAATGATTATGCTAACAACGAGGTAGGTTTATTGCGTTTACATCATTTCTTCTTCTTGTTCTTCTGCTATATATTACTTTCGATTCGGTTTGGTTGATCAACTTTATTCGATGTATTATTGCAGAAATAACTCACTCACACACTTACTCATCCACACACACACGCACACACGCATACGCATGCACACATTTGAATCGAAACTCAGAGATCTGAACTCGAAAGTCCTGTTGTTAGCTGCCATATCATTTGCTGCATGTTTGTTGTTTGAATATTGAATTATGATTTGTAACACATAGCTAGCCAGTATTTCATTCATTCATTTTAATGGAGTCTACAGTCTATATATATATATATAACAGTCGAAATTTGTTGACATTTGTGTTTTTTTTTTTACCTTTTCTCTACTTTCTTTTACCAACTACTTACCCTGCGCTCGAATCGCTCGAATCAAACTCCAATCAACTCAACTCAACTCGACTCGAATCAACCAACTCAACTCATCAAACGAATCCGACTATAAAAAACTCAACTGTAAATGATAACAAATCAAAATTAACAAAATCGCTTGACAAAAAAAAAAAAAACATAAACAAATCTAATATATAATATTATTAAACAACATCATCTGATTGAATTGCGCCTACTGCTAAACGTCTGCTAATGTTACTGCTAATGTTACTGTTAATGTTACGGTTACTGTTATGGTTACTGTTATGGTTACTGTTATGGCTACTGTTGCCAACGCTCAATGTGTGTGCGTGTGCCTCTGTGTGTGTGTGTGTGGGTTCATATTAATCACAATTACTCACACTATCTAAAAATTACCCGATAAATAACCAATAACTATTCAACAATTACTCAAAACTACTCATTTATTTGGCTGTGGCTTTGGATCATCAACATCCGCTGTGGCTGCTGTGCTGCTCTGTCTGTGTCACTGTCTCTCTCTCTCCCTCTCTCTCTCTCTCTCTCTTTCTTCTATCTCTCTCTATCTCTTTCTGTCTGTGTGCCGTGTTGATCGACAAATACCAATTAATAAATAACACTTACATCAACCCATCTAACCAATCATTCGCATACCCAAACACACACACACACATACACAACCAACCACACCAATATACACTCCCACACACACACACACACACGTGCACACACAAACACACACACACGCACACACAGATGATGAATGTTTATTATTTTCATCATCAGGCCGACGAGCTGCTGGGCACAGCCAGCGAGCAATTCCTGGGCAAGAGCGTCAAGGAGATTAAGCAAACCATTTTGCAAACCCTGGAGGGACACCTTCGCGCCATATTGGGTAAGATATAATACATAGATGTAAGAAAAATATATAAATGTATATATGTATAAATCTAAAAACAAAATACATTCAAAACTGACTGACGGATTGGTTGAATCAATGATTGATGATGTAAGAGCTGGAAAACTCGAAAAAAAATATATATATTTTATTGGCTGATTGATTTACTCAAATTGAATCAGTGATTGATAATCAACATGAGAGCAAGAAAGCTTGAAAAAAAAAATATATATATATATATAGCTGGCTTATAGAGTAATCTGTTACTCATGATAGATGGTGATTGATGGTCAATGTAAAGGCTAGAAATATATATAAATACATACATATATTAAACTGACTGGCGGACTGATTAACTAAGTGATTGATGATCAACGTAAGAGCTAGAAATATATATATATATAGCCGACTGACTGACTATACAAAATTGAATGACTAGCTGATTGACTGACTCAGTGATTGAAGATCAACAAAAGCTATAGAAATATATACATAAAACTGACCGACCGATTGACTGATGAATTTATTAATGATCAAAGAGAGCGTTACATAGTTAGTAAACTATATATGTATATATAAAACTGACTGACAGTGATTGATGATCAATATAAGAGCTGGAAATAAACAGAAAGTATGGCTAATATTGGCGAAAAACCTCGTGTGAAAGTTTCTGATATGTCGTTCAAGTTCAACATCCGATTGGCTTTAAACTCATTTTCAAAGATCGTTGTGAAAATTTATTTGAGACGTGTTTCACTTTTTTGGTTCTCGGGTGGCGATGTTTAATCTATAAACACAAGTCATTCTTATTGACTCATGTGCAAAATATTTGACTCAAGTCAGTTCCCAGATGAGATAGAACCAAATACTTAGAAAACAATTCGCTGATGTAAAACTCGCTCATTTCAATTCATTGAGCTCTAAACCACTTGAGCTTTTCGAGTAGAGTGGATTCCATTGAGTAATAAGCAGATATATTTATTACTCAATGAGTGGATTCATTGGGTCTCAAGTCTCTCATCAGCAGCTTCTAATCAAGTTATATAACGCGAGCTGGCCTTGGCTGCCAATTGATTACACTGATCAAACTGAACTTGAATGGTTTTACGAGTGCAGTCAACCGAGCTGTGAGTGGTATTCGAATCAAACCAAATGCCACTCATGAATGCGCGTAATTGCGGCTTGGCTCGACTCGCTGGAACTGCCGAGCGGGTAAGAGCCCTGGCGCTATAATCGCAATATATGTTACTTGTTATTGTCGGCATATAGCTATATGGCTATATAGCTCGGTATATATCTCATTCCCAAGGCGATTTCCATTTGTGCAACACGTTCACAAATTCAATTAGTTTAGTCGGCCCGCTCTCGCGGCTTAGGTTATTTTATTTATTTTGTTCTCTTCTTTTGTATTACTTTTTATGTCAGTTGTAAGCACGTCGAGCAACGCGTCGGTCGGTCGCGACGTCTCCGAGCGGGTCTCAAGTATATAGCCAGACGCACAGTCGACTGACCCGGCCTGGCACGCCCCGCCTCGCACCGCCCCCAATAGGTCGTTTAGCTTACATATGTATGTACATTCAATGGAATCGCGTGTGAACGGCACAGCCGATGTGTGCGTGTGTGTTTAGTTCCTGACCTTGAACTTGTTTGGGGCATAACTCTCGATATCTGAATATTTAATTCAGCTAGAATATATAGTTTAAGAAACCAAAACAATTTCCGTGTCAGTCAAATGGAAGGTTAACTAAGTATACATATGTCATCAGGTTTTGTGTTGAACGGTTTCAATAGAATAGAAAACTTTATAGTCAAGGAAAATAATTGATAACTATTCAGAAACTTCAGATATATATATCTAGTATATATATAGGGAAACTTAAGATTTATATATCTATATAAATAGGACAATCTATTGTCAAGGCATATAATTGATAACTATTCAGATACTAAAGATATTCATATCTTTTACCTAGGAATATAATTGATAACAGAAACTAAAGATTAATTTCCATTTATGTAGATATATATAATAGATATATCTCGGTTAAATGAAAGCCGTGCAAACATATTACTTAGAGTCCCTTTAAAATAGTATAGCTAAACCAAACATTCTTCAGCTTCAAGTCTGACATATCTGTTAAAGTAAAGATAACTTGACGATATCTTGCAGTGTCTGCAAATATTTGGTGTTATTTATATATATGTACATATCTCAAGTGGCAATACCTTTCTGTGGCACAGGTGGCAACTCTTCTCTAGCTAAATACAACAAACTAATTACCTAAAGCTTCAGAGCCTAACTTAGTCTTTGAACTGAAGGACACACGGAAATCCAACATTTAAACTAGTAAAAAATAGAAGAAAATGTTAAAAAACATGAATCTAAAAAGAAGAGTTGCCACCTAGGGGAAGAAAAGCCAAACAACAAGAATTTCAGCATTACATTTCTACATAAAATTAAATTAATAACAAACTTTTTGTTGAAATGCACGAACAAAAATGGGCTTAAGAAAAACCAGACAAGTTTTAATAAAGAAAAACAAATTTTTTAGTTCGATTATTATATGTTTATTTGTGCTCAAGTGAATTTTAAGAGCTTTCAACTTAAACCAAGTCAAATGGTGCTTATTTAAAGCAATTCATCGAAATTAAAGCTTTGCAGCGCATCTATCTCGCTCTAACAAATGCTGAAGAGCATGAATTAAAGCTTTCGAAAGAGAGAGAGAAAGAGAGAACGCTATGCTCATCTCGCTCTAACCAAAGCTCAAGCGTGTAAGCTTTAGGCACCTTTCTAGACGTGTGCGTGTGTGAAAAGCTTTGGACGTGACGTGCGCTGATAAGCCCAAGACTAGGCCGATAAGACTGCGCCAATGACGTCAAGAGTAATAGGAAATGTTTTAATTAAAAGTCCAGGGCAAGAAGAAGAGCATTCAAGTGAACAGCGTGTGCTTAGATTAAAACAGTTATTAGGCGTGTCCACTGCCGTCAGTACAAACTTGCCCGCCTTGGGGGAATCAACTGGGGGACTAACTGGGCCTAAACGATCAGAGCCATGTCCATGGTATGGATGGGCACCTTCAAGGTGGTCATGATCGTGGGCATTACCTGGCTGGTGGTTAGACGGTAAGCGGTCCACGCAGCTGAGCCCTGGCATGCCAAATTGATTGATATGTCGCCCTGTCTCTCTCACTCTCACCTTCTCTCTCTCTCTCTCTCTCTGTCTGTCTCTCTATAGGAACGCTTACAGTCGAGGAGGTCTACAAAGATCGCGACCAGTTCGCAGCTCTGGTGCGCGAGGTGGCCGCACCTGATGTCGGCCGCATGGGCATCGAGATCTTGTCCTTTACCATCAAGGACGTCTACGACGATGTGCAGTATCTGGCCTCGTTGGGCAAGGCCCAGACCGCTGTGGTTAAGCGGGATGCCGACGCGGGCGTTGCGGAGGCAAATCGTGATGCCGGCATTCGTGAGGCCGAGTGCGAGAAGAGCGCCATGGATGTGAAGTACTCGACGGACACCAAGATCGAGGACAATACGCGCATGTACAAGCTGCAGAAGGCCAACTTCGATCAGGAGATCAACACGGCCAAGGCCGAGTCGCAGCTGGCCTACGAGCTACAGGCGGCCAAGATACGCCAGCGCATCCGGAACGAGGAGATCCAAATCGAGGTCGTCGAGCGGCGCAAGCAGATCGAGATCGAGTCGCAGGAGGTGCAGCGCAAGGATCGGGAACTTATCGGCACCGTCAAGCTGCCAGCCGAGGCCGAGTCGTATCGCGTCCAGACCATTGCCCAGGGCAAGCAGTAAGTAAACAAATTCCATATACACTCGAAACAAATACGCTGGCATCGTGTAAGAACGAGCCTTAATCCCGGACGTATCCCAATAACTAGACTTTCAAATGCAGTTGCTCTTCTTTTCTTTTTTTTGATTTGTTTGCTTTATTTCAATTTTACTGTTTTTATGGAAACAACTTTAATTAATTTGTTGTTGTTGAGCTTAAATCAAGTAAGAGCGAGAGTTAAACGCGGATATATTCTCATTACAAGACTTTCAAATGCAGTTGTCCAGCTCAGAGCTTTCCTACCGGAAGAACTTTTTATCCTTTTCATAATCAAATACATGGATAAGTTCTATCAAAAGTTAAGGGAAATGAAAGGAACTGAGATTCGAACTCAGAGCTGGCCTCACAGATGTAGATAGAGACCAGGTTCATGAGCCGAACCTTGCTTGGACATTCTAGATCCTTGCTAGAGTGTGCTATAACAGCTTGTGTGATTCCTTCCGCTAACCGATTTCCACTTTCCCTTCCACACAGATGCCAGACCATTGAGGGTGCACGGGCCGAGGCGGAGCGCATACGGAAGATCGGTTCCGCGGAGGCCCATGCCATTGAGCTGGTCGGCAAGGCGGAGGCGGAGCGCATGCGGATGAAGGCGAATGTCTACAAGCAGTACGGCGATGCGGCCATCATGAATATAGTGCTGGAGTCGTTGCCCAAGGTAAGACCGAGAAAGAGAAAGAAGAGAGGCAGAGAGTGCGGTAGAGACTAATCAACTTTGATATATGCTTTCAGATTGCCGCCGAGGTGGCCGCCCCATTGGCCAAGACGGATGAGATTGTGCTAATTGGTGGCAACGATAATGTGACCAACGATGTGACACGCCTCGTTGCACAGCTGCCGCCCTCGATCAATGCGCTGACCGGGGTGGATCTGTCCAAGGTGCTGGCCAAGATACCCGGCGCCAAGGCGTGAAACCTAATCGAATGGGATGTGCAGCAAATGGCATTGACGACGTAACCCCCAAAGGAATTGCAACTGGAAATGAGAGAGCGAGCAGAGAGAGAGAGGGAGCAGAGAGAGATCGAGAGGAGTTAACCAAAAACGAGAATGAGAACGAAAGAGAGAGCGAACGAGCGAAAGAGAGAGAACGCATTTGTTAGAGCGAGCTGGCGAGCGCATCAGAAATCAAAGGAATCGAACGATAATCTTACATATATAGATATATATATATATATGTATATACATATGTCATATAGCATATAGCAAAATGTACTCCGATATTATATGTATATGTGTGTGTCAGTGTGTGTATGTGCCACACCACGGCAAAAGGCCTGGCCCGGGCATAGTTGGATAAATCAGTTAAGCAATCAGATATCCAGCTAAAGCTAAAGCTTATATCTAAAATTAATGCATTTCGCAAGCATTCGCAAACGCATTTTGTGGCCTTTTCTCGATAAATAAGCAGAGATTACCAAAAAAAAAAAAAAAAAAAAATACCAAAAAAAAATACCAACAAACAAATTTGTAAACAAAAGTTTATTGTGCAGTGTGTTAGTTACTTACATATATGTAGATACACTTATATACAGACATATATATATATATATATGTATATTCACATACGTGCACACACACATACACATACACAAACATGTGTATTTGTATTTGCATTCGTAACTGTATTTGTGTTTGTATTTGTCGTCATCGCTGTCCATTTAGTCCATAAGCTGAACTACAGTCGCACAAAACCATCAAAAAAAAACGTTTCTTTAACATGAGCATCAACTGAAACAATGCTGCAAGTTGCAACAGTTTGTTGCTTTGCAACACTGTCCGCAATTTATTTTCCGACCACGCATTGAGTTCAAACTACAATTACTGCCTGATCGCATTGACATCGTCCCACTGTGCCAAACGGGACCAACGGGCAACACCTTTCACTTACGCACACTTAGTTCAGTGCACACTTTACAACACTACTTTTACTATGACGCCACTGTCGCCGCCGCTCTTCCACCCACACACACACACACACACACACACACACACATAGACACCAACACTCTTACAACATGCGTTCGAATTATTAAAATTCTTTGTAAAATGTTTACTTTTTATTATGCACATTCATTTATATTGTTTATAATTATAATTTTTTTTGTTTTTAAGAATTTCTCTCACCATTTTTTTAAACATTTCACAATTTGTTTCTTAGTTTTTAGCAAAAAAAAAATACAAAATTTAAGCAAAAATTACAACAAACAAAATTATCACAAAAACATAAGAAAAATACTAAACAAAATATCAATTTAAACAATTTAAATTTAGTTAAAGCAATTTTGTAAGTCCACATAATGTCATTGTCCCCTGTAACGATTAATGAACAACTCTGTGGAGTTATCAAAATACGATATTTGTGCGAAATCTCAATCTAAGTTCGTTTGAATTTGCTTCAACACAAATTGGTTTTCTAGTATAATTAGACAAGGCTGCAATTCTTTCAAATATTTAACGAGCTGCGCGGCAATTAAAATGTATTTCCAAATAGATGGAGAATGGAGAATAGTTCAATCAAAAATTATTATGATACTTGAAACGATTGTAAAGTCAGTCAAATGAAGCCGGATCTGAACTGTTCAATTGGGGTTTAATCACTTTTCAATTTTCAGCACATTTTTAGGCGAAATATTGCTAATATTGGTTCTAATTTAAAGCAAAGCAGTTTATGACGCACTCCCAAGAAAGCTGGAATGTTAAATCTCATACATATACGACTCATTTAGACTGAGAAATCTTTTTACAAATTTCAATTAGTTCGTCGGGGAATACTTTTTATTTTCCCAACAGCTCGGAAACAGTTTTTGCGGCCCTGTAAAGAACACACACACACACACACACACACACACACACACACAGAGATTTGTTTATGACAATGATAAAGCCGAAATGCGAATACACAAAATGTTAAACTGTGCATTTGTCGATAAGAAGAAGCAACATTAATAATTACAATAATAACAAAATGTAACAAACTCTAGATGAACCGAAGAATCAGCAAAGTAAAAGCATTTACACACAATTCAAAATAACAGAACTATAATTTTATATATATATATATATTTGAACAAAAAAGAATATATATATATATATATATATTTATATATATATATGGTAAATATATTTTTTTTCTATTGTATATTAAGCGCAAGTAACTTAAATTGATATATGTTTCAGAGTGCAGAAGAATAACTAAATAAATCGAATCTAAAATTTTGTGTATTTTGTCGTAAATAAATAAATTTAAAAGAAATAAAACAAATATATGGCAAAAAACGAATGTCCTTTTTAGAGAAATAGCCATAACTTTGCCATTTCCCTGCAGATTTTCAAAACACTTTTCTCAGCTGTTTTAATCGATTAGCAATTATGTACATTCTGTTGGCAAAGGGACATCCCGACAATCCATAAAAATGGGATCCGTACGATTTTAAAAAAAGCATAACATTTCAAAATCAGACAGTATTTACCCGAGATATTCAAAATATATCATCGAAAAAATTTGGATTTTCGAACCGACCCCGATTATGAGATAAAACGTGATGTAACCCCTTGCTTTTTGGACGCTTTGGTTCAAAATTTATATTTTCATTTTTTTGATGCCAATCGATGGTACTGATCCTTACGAGTCCAAAATGGTATAAAATTCCAAAATCTGACAGTATTTGGCGGATATATTCCAAAAAATCATAAAAAAACGGTTGACTTTAGAAACGAATTGTTTTTTGGTCAACAACTTTTTTTAAGCCATGGATTTAGAATTTGTTTAAATGCCAATCGATAGTATTGATCCATACGATCAGCCCGGATATTGTGCGCTTAGGTCAATTTTTGCGACCAGCCCCCCAAGAACATTTAAATGTGAAATTTATGATTGAATCCTGGAAATCCTTGAATGCCAAGCAATAGTCAATGACAAACGAATATCTTCTTTAGAAAAATAGCTATAGCTCTGACAGATCCTTGCAGTTTTTCAAAGGACTTGGTGCGTCAGGATCGCAAAGACCAACTGCTCTATGCGTATCGATACGTTGTTGGTCAATAAAATCTTTATTACAAAACCCTCATATACACACAATACATATAGACGTGCATGGTATACATAGAGTGTTACGAGTAAATATAGTAATATCTTTGCGTTAAACTAAATATACACGTGTAACTATAGCTTACGAACTATATATATGGTTAACAAAAAAAAAAAAAAAACGGTATATATGTATATATTTATTATATTTCTTTAGCCTACGATTAAGTCCGCTGTGGTGGGGACTGATATATATATATGTATATATATTTATGCATGTATATATATAGTTTATGCAGGTCCAGTGTTTCGAACGAGTTTAACAATATATTCAGTTGCAATTTAGGCACACACAAACCTGAGACGCTGTGCATAAGATCCTAAGTTAGGTGTCTAAATAGCCCTACGACACTTACAAGCTATGGACCAATCCGGTGACTATTACTCGTTACTCGCTACTCGTTACTCGCTACTCGCTACTCGTTACTCGCTACTTGCTACTCGCTACTCGCTACTCGCTATTGTCGCAGCCACCCTGGGGGCCACTCGTCTAAATGCAATGCTCACAAGGCCCGCTGGACTGCCGGCAATTGCCAACATTGGCGGGTTTCAAATTATCGGATCTACGTAGATCCCAAGCACTAGTCAAAGTTAAAAAAAAAAACAAAAAAAAAAACAAAAACATTTATAACAAAGAAAAAGCTAATTTGCAACAATTTTGTGTGTGGCTCAGTCCGAATACTTTTCTTTGAGATCCTTGCGCAGTATTTTGCCCGTCGGATTCTTGGGCACCTCGTCGACAAAGATGACGCCGCCCTCGAGCTTCTTGTAGTGGGCCACACGTCCCGCCACATAGGCGGCGATCTCCTCGGCGGTCGCCGTCTCGTTCTGGCGCAGCACAACAATGGCGCGCGGCGCCTCGCCGTTTAGCTCGTGCGGAATGCCAAAGACAGCGGCCTCCAGGATCTTGGGATGATCGCGCAGCACCGCCTCCAGCTCGGCGGGCGGCACCTGGAAGCCCTTCACCTTGATCAGCTCCTTCATGCGATCGGTTATATAAAAGTAGCCGTCCTCATCGTAGAACGCCACATCGCCCGTGCGCAGCCATTTGCCCGGATAGAAGGTCACGTCGTTGGCCTCCTGATTGTTCAAATAGCCGGACATCACCTGTGGCCCGCGCACGCACAGCTCGCCGGTGGTGCGCGCTCCCACGCCCTTCGAGTCGGACCCATCCAGCGGCACAATCTTTGCCTCCGTGCTGCCGGGCAGCACGCCCGTCGACGCATAACGCGTATTGCCCATGGGCGTCATCAGAACAACGGGCGATGCCTCCGTCATGCCGTAGCCCTGCATGAAGCGCGTCTTCGGGAATCTGTAGGGAGTAGAGTTCAGATATTGGGATTAGCTTTAATCGAATTGCTTGGATTCCAGGCAGAACTCGCTTTGCTCTTCAACTCTTTTTGACGAGATGTAAAAACTACGTGCAATACGGCTACACTCATAATCAAAAGGTGGCAACACCAAACGACAAGTTGGCAAGGCGCCTGGCAAAGTTGCAAGCAACTGTTTGTCGCCTGTTTCGACAACATGAAGAGGAGCCAGGATTATGTGTCTTAAAACTACTTTTGTTATGCTTATCAAAGATTCGGTTAACAGCAGCTTATTAGAAGGTTACCAGGAGCTTATCAGGAGGTTAACAGAGGTTAATTTGGAGCTATTTGAAGAAGGTATTTCAAAAAGCCTATTCAAAGATTAACAGAATCTAAAAAGAGGTTAGCATGCGCTTATTGGAAAGTTAAGTAGAGCTTAACAGGAGTATAAATGGTTACCAGGAGCTTATTAGGAGGTTAACATGAGCCTTTAAGAAATATAACTAGATCTAGCTAGCAATTTCGCAGGTGGTTTAAAGCAGATTTTTAGAAGGTTAACAACAGTTTGTTTTTTTGGTAAATAGGAGCATATCAAGCTGCCTATTCAGAGATTAACATAAGCTACTTAAGAGGTTAACGGATGGTCAATAAAGATGAACAGAAAGATAAATGAAGCTTATTAGGTTAACAGGAGTATTACCATGAATTTGTTGGAAGGTTGTAGCAGCCTATTAGAACATTACCAGTAGCTTATCATTAGGTTGTCAGGAGTGTGTTAGCAGGCTTACAGGAGCTTATTTGAAGGTTATCAGCAAATTATTACTGAGCCTGTTCAAGATTAACATGAGCTTATTAGAAATTAAAATGGAGCTCCCTATCAGGAGGTAGCCAAGAGTATGTAAGGAGGCTAACAGAAGCTTGTTATATATATCTGAATCTAACTGAATACAAGGAGCTTGCCAGGAGGTTGCCCGGAGTTTGATAGGAGGTTAGCAGAAATTTATTAAATAGATAACTGGATCTTATTAGGAGGTTAAAAGTAGCTTATTAGGAAGTTAACAGTAGCTTCTTAGGTTACCAGGAAGTTAACAGAAGTTATCAGAGTATATCAGGCGCTTTGCTTACTTCTTCATGAACCGCTCGACATCGTGTTGGCCAATAGGCGCAGCGCCAGACATGACGACGCGCAGCGCGTCGGCGGTTTCCTTCGTCAGCTTGGGATGGTTTATCATGAACAACGCTGGCGAGAGTTAAGAGGAATTATTTATTATATTTAATTTGAGATGGGCAAAAGAGTGCGGGAAAATGGCGCTTACCAATGGGCGGCACCAGGTTCAGAATGCTGCCCTTGTACGTGTCGAGGGCCTTGATGAAGTCGTCGGGCTTGAAGGCGGGCATGGTGGCCAGTCGGGAGCCCTGGCCGAGCTTGGAGAGCATGACCACGGTTAGCCCGTAAATGTGAAAGAAGGGCAGCACGGCGGGCAGCGTGTCCTGGAATTGCAGCGAGTCAATGGGCAGCGCGTCCTGCACCTGCTCGCAGTTGCTGCTGATGTTGTTGTGGGACAGGACCACGCCCTTTGGCAGGCCGGTGGTGCCCGAGGAGAAGGGCAGAAAGACCATGTCCTCGGGACTGGCATCCTTCGCAGTGCGCAGCTCATCGTAGCGCACATTCTCCGTGCTCATCACCTCAAAGAAATCAATGGCACCCGCCGGCAGCGCCTCACCCGCCGTGCTGCGGACCACCGCAATCGGCATCTGCTTGCCGCTCAACTGGCACGCCTCGCGCAGCGTCTGATAGCCCTGGGCACTGCCCACCAGGAACTTGGCATCGCTGAACGTCAGCTGGCGCGCAATTTCATCTGGAATTCCATGCGGGCGATTAGATCAGGGAGTACGCTGTTAACTGTTATACAGTTCGTTAAGGTTTGTCTCCCTAAAAGGTTTGTCTTTATCGTTTTGGGCATTCTTCTTTGTGT